TGTGTGGAACCCTGATGGTGCAGTGGTTAAGAGCTCAAGCTGCTAACCAAAATGTTGGCAGTTTGAATCTACCAGCTGCTCCTTGGAAACCCCATGGGACAGTTCTGCTCTGTCTTATAGGGTTGCTATGATTTGGAATCAACACAGCAACGGGTTTGGGTTTTTTTTTTGGTTTTTGTTAGGTGCTGTGTTAGTTTCTTAGTGCTGCTATAATAGCACAAGTGGGTGGCTTTAAGAAGAGAAATTTATTTTCTCTCATCTTAGGAAGCTAGAAGTCTGAATTCAGGGCACTAGATCTTAGGGAAGGCTCTCTTTGCTCTGGAGAAAAATCCTTATCTCATTTTCTCTTCCTTGGTTTCTGGGAGATCTCCACATGGCATCTATCTTTCCCCCATTTGTGCATGCCTCTTGTCTGATTTACTCTTATTACTCGGAAAGTTTAGAACACACCCTACAGTGATATGGCCTCATTAACATAAAGAAGAAAACCCTATTCCCAAATAGGATTACATCCATAGCTATAGGGTTTAGAATTCCAACACATATTTGGCGGGGGTGGGGGGGGGATACAATTCAATCCCAAACTGATGTATATATATTTGTAAATGTTATATCTTCTTGATGAATTGACGCTTTTATCATGATATAATATCCCTCTTTGTCTGTTTTAACATATTTTGATTTAAAGTCTATTTTATCTGATGTTAAAATCACCACCCCAGCTTTCTTTTAGTTATTATTTGCATAGAATTTTTTTTCCCCATCCTTTCACTTTCAACCTGTTTGCATCCTTGGGCCTTAAATGTGTCTCTTGTAGACAGCATGTAATTGGATCATGTGTTTTTATCCATTCTGTCACTCTCTGCCTGCCTTTTGATTGGAGCATGTGGTCCATTTACATTCACTGCAGTTACCAATAAGGAAGGATTTACTTCTGCCATTTTGCTATTTGTTTTTTGTGTGTCTTATAGTTCTGTTTCTCATTTCCTCTGATACTGCCAACCTTGTGTTTTTGTTGCTTTTTTGGTATTAAGCCATTTTGATTCCCTTCTTTCCTTTTGTGTGTATTTTTAAGATATTTTCTTAGTGGTTACCATGAATATTGCATTTAACATCTTGCATTTTTAACACCCTAGACTGCGTTGATACCATCTTAACTTCAGTAATATAAAAAACTCTATACCTATACCATTTCTCCCACCCCACCCCCATTTTTGTTGTGGTTATCACCAGTTACATCTTTGTACGTCACGTGCCCTATATCTCAAATTTATACTTATTTTTTATGTATTTGTCATTATAAAGCATGAAAGACTTAGCAATTAGAATTATCAAGTAAATATACCTTAGTACCTTAATACTAGTCCTTAAACTTGTCCATGCAATTACCTATAATGGAGATCTTTCTTTCTATGCATGGCTTCGAGCTACTTTCTAGTGTTCTTTCTTTTCCATCTGAAGGACTCCTTGTAGCAGTTTTTGTAGGGCTCGTCTGGTGGATATGAACTCTCTCAACTTCTGTTTATCTGAGAATGTCTTACTTTCACCCTCATTCTTGAAGGGCAGCTTTGCCAGGTATAGTATTCTTGGTTGAGAGTTTCTTTCTTTTGGCACTTTAAATATGTCTTTCCACTGCCTTCAGTCCTCTGTATCTAGGAGAAATCATCACTTAATCTTATTGGGGATCCTTTATATGTGAGTATTCACTTCTCTGTCACTGCTATCATGATTTTGTCTTTATCTCTCAAGAGCCTAATTATAAGGTGTTTCGGTGTGGATCTTATCCTGCTTGAAGTTCACTGAGCATCTTGGATTTGTGGGTTCATGTCCTTCTCCAGATGTAGGAAATTTTCTGCCATTATTTCTTCAAATATTCTTTCTGTTCTTTCTCTCTCTCAACTGTTTCTGGGATTCCCATAATGTTTATGTTTGTTCACTTGATGTTGTCTCATAGTGTTATGGATTGAGTTGTGTCCTTCAAAAATGTGGGCCAACTTGGCTAGCCCATGATTCCCAGTATATGTGATTGTCCACCGTTTTGCCATATGATGTGATTTTCCCACGTGTTGTAAATCCTAACTCTGTGATGTTAATGAGATGGGATTAGGGGCAGTTACATTAATGAGGCAGGACTCAATCTACAAGATTAGCTTGTGTCTTAAATCAATTTGTTTTGAGATATAAAAGAGAGAAGCAAGCAGAGAGACATGGGGACCTCATACCACCAAGAAACAAGAGCCAGGAGAATAGCGCATCCTTTGGACCCAGGGTCCCTGTGCTGAGAAGCTCCTCGACCAGGAAAGATTGATGACAAGGACTTTCTCCCAGAGCCAACAGAGAGAGAGCCTTCCCCTGGAGCTGGCACCCTGAATTTGGACTTCTAGCCTCCTAGACTTTCGCTTTGTTAAGGCCATCTACTTGTAGTATTTCTGTTATAGCAGCACTAGGTAACTAAGACACATAGTTCCATTTAACTGTGCTTAGCAATCATGAGTCTCCTTCCTTGTTGCTCTCCGGCCTCCATAATTGTGACTACCTTATCCTTTAGTGCACTGATCCTTTCTTCTGCCTGATAAAGTCTGTTGTTAAAACCTTCCAATGTGTTTTTTATTTCAGATATTGTCTCTTTCCATTCCAGTATTTCTGTTTGGTTTCATTTTATGGTGTCTATCTCATTTTTAAAATTCTCATTTTGTTCATGCACTGTTTTCCTGATTTCCTTTAGTTGTGTGTGTGGGTGTTTAGTTCTTTGAGTTTGTTTAATATTTTTCTTAGTTATCTAGTGCTGCTATAACAGAAATATCACAGGTGGGTGGCTTTAACAAACAGAAATTTATCCTCTTACAGTTTAGGAGGCTAGAAGTTTGAATTCAGGGCACCGGCTGTAGGGGAAGGCTTTTCTCTCTCTGTCAGCCCTGGGGGATGGTCCTTGTCTCTTCAGCTTTTACTCCTTGGCTCCTTGGTAATCTTCATGTGACATGGTTTTTATCTTCCCCATCTCTGCTTGCTCCTCTGTACTGATCTGCTCTTTTTATATGTCAAAAGTGAGTGGCTTAAAACACACCCTATACTGATAAAGCCTCTTTAATATAACAAAGAAAACCTACTCCCAAATGGGATTATAACCACAAGTATAGGGATTAGTATTCACAACATATATTTGGGGGGACATAATTCAATCCATAACATAATTGTATTATAGTCTTCCATTCTGTTTATTATTCGGGTTTCTATAAATATGATTCCTTTCACTTTGTCTTGTTCATTTGGATGAGCCATTGTTTCTATTTTCTTTGTGTGTCTTGTGATTTTTTTTTGTAGAAGGTGGGACAATAGAATTTTATAGAGTGTTAGCTTTCTCAGTTTCCCCCAGTATTTAGTGTCTTTGACAGCAGTACTTTCTGCAAGAAACTCTTAGGCAGGCAGAGCCTTCAGACCTCACTTGCCATTCTGCCATTCCCTCTTCCTCAGTATGATAGCTCCTTCTTTCTCTCTGTTTTGACTAGGATTCAAAAAGTCCAGACTGAAGTTTCCATCGTCCAGTGTCTCCCAAACAGAACAGAGAACATGCACAGACCAACAGAACAGAAAATAAGCACTAATCAATATGTCCAGCAGGGGGCACAGTCACTTTCTTGGTTATTGTCCCTTCTGTGTTCTGTGTGGGCTGCATTTCCATGACCATGTTTTCAGTTGAAAAGCCTTCACTAAATGAACTGCCTGTTGGGGTTGTACTTATTTGGGCCTCCCTCCCCTACTTTGTAAGGGCCCATGTATATAGGAGTTGGAGATTGGAGTAGGCTCAGGTGAGGGGAGCCATGGATGGGTCATCTGGGCCTACAGGAGGCTTTCTGCTATGCCAGGAGGGGAATGGGTGGGCACATCCCAACAAACCCCTAGCAGGTTCTGTTTTGTTGATCTCAGAGCCAGAGCTGGAGGCCTTCTCCTTTGCACAGGCTGGCTCTGCTGCAAGCATCAGTTTGGTAGTCCACAGCAGTTCTCAACTCTGGGAGAGGGAGGGGCAGGCACACCCTGAATAGACTCCATGGAGATGTGTCTTAATGATTTTAGAGCCAGAGCTGGGTGCCTTTCCTTGTTGCACAGGCAAGCAGTGTGTTGGCTGGGGCAGCAGGCTCTGCTGCAAGCACTGCTTCTGTAGTCCACAGCAGCCAACAGTCTGCAGCTCTGGGAGGGAGAGTGATGAGGACAACAGGAGAAGCGGCGTTCCTACCAGATGAGACTCATCATTGACTCGTGTCCACCTACAGTTCCTTGTTGCTGTCTTCTGCCCACTGATTCAGAGCTCCACAGGGCCAAACACAGATTTCTTGCTGTATTTCTTGGTAGACATGTGGGAGGGTCAGAACCTAGACCTGCTCACACCATCATCTTCCCAGAATTCCCAATCACTGACTCTTCATTTGGAAGGTTTTGCGTATTACTGATATGGTTGGATTTCCATCTACCAATTTTATTATTTATTTGTCCCCTCTCTTTTTTGTTTCTCTGCTTCCCCTTTCCTGTCTATCTTTGGATTATCTGAATATTTTTAGAATTCCATCTTTAATCTTGTCAAAGTCATTTATGATTACAAACTCAGGACTGTATTTTAATAAGCTTCCCTACCCTCTTAAGATAACTTCCTTCTTAAGGATCCAGGTCATGGAAACCATTTCTCTGAATGCTTTAAGTTCTATCTTTCAAAGATTTAAAGTACACATCTTAACATGTTAAGTCACACTGTCTTCTGTGTGGGATGCTCTTCCCTTCTCCTCTGCTTCTCACCCTTATTCTGCTGATGAACTATTCATTCTTCAAAATTAAGCCACATTTGTACATGGGAGTTGAGGTGATAATGCAGGAAGTCTCTTGGAAATGACTAAAACTTTCTGTTTTGACATCTTTGCAATTATCCCACAGTTTAGTTTCCCTAAAATCACCCGTTTTAGACCAGATGCCTAAAGGACATCCACATCTATGATTCTTGTCTTGAAATACAGGATATAGTTTCCAAGGAATTATCTGGGAAATCTGAAGATGAAGATGTAGAAAATGAAAGGAACAGAATCCTGGAGCACCCTCATGAGTTCTTGAATACCATAGTACTTATTAAGGAACTCACCAAGGTAACGTCATTCAGTGGCCAATATTATGCTGGCTTTATCCTTAATTAAGAGCATGTCATTGGTTTTGAGGGATCATTGTGGTTCTTTGGGATCTATGTGTATTCTCCCAATGTAATAGAAGAGCTCTTGTGAAACTGTCCTAGGTAGTGGTCCATAGGGGTCTGAGGTATTGATTATATTTGACCTGTAGGTAGTCTTCACTACATTGTGTTTTCTCGATTTTTAGATATATTTTAAATGTCCAGCCATTCTGGCTGTGAAAAATATCTCCCTTAGAATCCAAAAAGGGGAGTGCTTTGGATTGCTTGGATTCAATGGAGCAGGAAAAACCAGTACCTTCCAAATGCTGACTGGAGAAAAGACTGCTACTTCTGGGGATATGTTCATTGAAGGCTTTAGCATCACCAAGGATATCCTAAAGGTAAGACACTATTACTGTCTAAGATGCAAGAAGCATGATGACTTGGGGGTGTAAGTAAAGGCTGGTGGCTAGAGATCATAGATTGGAATCATGGTAGGCATTAGTAGTGATACTGTTGACCCAATCAATGGATTATGGATTGAGAAATAAATTTTTGAGAAGAGATGGTGAGGCAATAAAAGTATCCTTACCCTGAGAATCTAAGATCAGAGTGTCTTTTGTGTTCTTTGAAATTATTGGAGTAAGAGTCAAGTTCTCTCAACAGTGCAGGTAACGTATGCCAGACAAGGTGCTGTGAGGGTGTGAGGAAGTCAAGACTTGGCAGAAGGAGAAGATGACATGCAATTTAGTTGTAATTGAGGCCTTGGCCCTTCTTACTGAGAGCTCAGGAACACGATGGCCCTTCACAGAGTGGTTCCAAATCAAAGCAAGGTAGCCAGGTCTTTGTATCCCTGCATCAGCCAGTCATTGGCTGCACTTGCCACCTGGGAGGGGGTGTGTAACCTTGGGAAGAAGCTAAGTAAGAAGATAATTTCAAAAAGAAGGAGATGGCCAAAAGTGTCATATGTCCAGAAATTTCAGGCGAAGTAAAGCCTGAATGGTGTCTGTTGGATTTACTCACTAGTACTTCATCAGTGAAACTGTCAAGATCATTTGCACTATGGTCAGGTGGGTGGTGGTAATGGGAGCCTGAATGGTGCAATTCATTCTTCGTTAGTGTATGTTGTTGTTGTTATGTGCCATCGAGTTGATTCTGACTCGTAGCGACCCTATAGGACAGAGTAGAACTGCCCCATAGGGTTTCCAAGAAGGGGCTAGTGGATTCGAACTGCTGACCTTTTGGTTAGCAACCCAGCTGTGTTGTGTATAGGACACAGTTATTATGGAATCAGGGCTGCGGGGATGGTCGGGGGGAGATGTATGCTATAGTATAAACAGCAGTCCAGTAACCAGATGTAAAGCTAGGAGTGTGGATTATGCTTTGAAGAAAGTAAGCTGTAAAGCAAAGGGAAGAATTCGAATTCACCCAGAGTTTTGAGAAGACAGGTGAAGATGTTTTATAAGTTGATCAATACAGTACATCTGTAAAAGTGAAAAGAATGAACAGAAAGGGATAAGCTGAAGATATAAAGGAAGAAGGGATTCATGATAAAAGGGAGGTGAGTGGGGAGGAAGAGTAAATGGGGTCTCCCCTAAATATCATTATCCATACCACTTACCACATTCCCTTGGGGGATATAGGGTTGATATAAAACCGTCCTCTGACTAAGAGGAGTGGAGAAAGAGGTCAGGTGGGTTGCGGTAATAGAAGCCTGAATGGTGCAATTTATTTCTCCTCAGTTCATGGATTCAGGAATATAGGATTGGGGGTGGCATGCATGCAGTAGTCTAGTAATTGGTATTCCCATGATGCGTATGTTGGTTCGCTTGATATTGTCTCATAATTCTACTGAAATGTGCTCAGCATTTTTGAGCCTTCTTCCTTGTTGTTCCTCCGCCTCCCTAATTTCAACTACTTTATCCTCTATTTCTCTGATTCTTTCTTCTGCCTGATCAAATCTGTTGTTGAATCCTTCCATTGTGTTTCTCTTTTCAGTTATTGTCTCTTTCAGTTCTAGTATTACTGTATGGTTTCTTTTTAGAGTGTCTACTTCTATTTGTAATTGCTCATTTTGTTCTTGCATTGTTTTCCTGATTTCTTTGTCTATATTTTCCTTTAGTTCTTTGAGTATGTTTAATATTGTATTATATTATTTCATTCATTTCATTATTTGGGCTTCCATAGATGTGATTCCACTCCCTTTGTTTTGTTCATTTGGATGGGCCATTGTTTCCATTTTCTGTGTGTGTCTTGTGATTTTTGTTGTTGTTGCAGTTAGGACAATAGAAATTTACAGATATTAACTTTCTCAGTTCTCAGTATTCAGTGTTTTTAACAGCAGTACTTTCCGTTATAAACTCTTAAGCAGGCAGAACCTTCAGATCTTGCTTACCATTTCCTCTCCCTCTCTGGGATAGCTACTTCTCCCTCTGTTTTAAATAGGATTCGGAAATTTCAGGTTGTGGTTTCCAACTTCCATTGTGTCACAAACACAACAGAGAACACACACTAATCACTGTCGACCAGAGGGCACAGCCAGCAGGAGGGAGAACTCACATTAATCAATCTGTCCACTGCAGGCACAGTCTTCTTTCTTAGGGTATTGCTCCCTCCTCTGCTCTGTTTTCATGACCATGTTTTCAGTCTGGAAGCCCACACCAAATTAACCCTCTGCGGCTCTGGGTTTTGCCCTCAGTTCTTGCCTGTGGCTTCCTACCTTGCTCTGCTGGGGTTCACTTATATTTGAGCTGTCAATCAGGAGAAGCACAGGCTGACTTTCCTCTGCATCAGGAGGGGGAGGGATAGGCACTCACAAAAATGGACCCCCAGGGAGATCTGTCTTGTTGATTTCAGAGCCAATTCCTGTCTTACTGATTTCAGCACCTGAGTTCAGAGCCTTTCCCTTTCACAGGCTGGCAGTATGTGGGCTGGGGGAATGGGCTTCACTTAAGGTGTCTGCTTTCATGGTTCACAGCTGCTCAGTTAACAGACCTTGGTGCCTTCCAGAGGGGAAGGGGCAGGCAAACCCAAATGGACCCCCAGGGATATCTCTCTTGTTGACTTCAGAGCTTTAGCTAGGGTGCTTTCCCTGTGCACAGGCAGGCAGCGTGTTGTCTGTGGGAGCAGGTTTCACTTCAGGGGGGCTTTTGTAGCTGTAGCAGTTTGCAGCAGCTGACAGTCTGCAGTATCAGGAGGTGGAGGGGCAGGCACATTCCTAACAGACCCCCAGAGAGGTCTGCCTTGTTGATTTCAGAAGTGAAGCTTGGGGCCTTTCCCTTTGCAAAGGCAGGGAGTGTCTTGGCTAGGAGAGCAGACTCTTTGTGGGGGCTCTTTCTATAGTTCTCAGCAGCCCGCATGACTGGGGGTGGGGGACAGTGGGAGAAGCCATGTTACTAGGTGTTCCTACCATGTGCAGTTCATCATTGACACATTTGACTCATTGACTAGTGTCCATCTGGAGTTCCCCGCTGCTCTCCTCTGCTCACCAGAGTCCCTCAGGGCCAAACACAGTTTTCTTGTTGTATTTCTTAGGATACATGTGAGGGAGAGTTGGAAGCTAGGCCTACTTATGGAAATGTTCTCTCCTTGTGCTTTTTATTCCTTGCCTTACTGCACTGGTTAGAACCTCTACTCAGCATTGTGTAGAAACAGCAATTGCAGACACCTCTCTTCTCAGTCTCAGGGGGAAACTTTTTTCTTATTCAGATTTTATTTTTCTAAAAAGGCCTTCCTTTCACCCTCACTTCTGAAAGATATTTTCATTGTGTTTAGAGTTTGAGGATTGCAATTATTTTCTTTTAGCACATTTAAGATATTGTTACACTATCCTCTAGCTTTCATTACTGCTCTTGAGAAGTCAGCAATCAGTCTGACACTCATTTATAATCTTTCTTTTCTCTGTGGGTACTTTTAAAACTTCCTCTTTGTTTTTCATAAGCTTCAATACGAAGTATTTATGTATGGATCTTAAAAAAAAGTTATCTTGCTTGGAATTTGTTGACATTCTTGAATTTAACAGTTGGTATCTTTAATTTGGACCAATAAACACCATCAGGATAAATGGTGAAGATGGTGAATAAATGATTTTATTCTATGGAAGCAGCAGTCAAGAAATCAAATAACATATTGCATTTGGCAGATCTGCTGCAAAAGACCTCCTTAAAGTGCCAAAAAGCAAAGATGTTACTTTGATGACTAAGGTGTGCCTGACCCAAGCCAGTATTTTCAGTCACCTCATATGCATGCAATAGCTGGAAAATGAAAAAGGAAGACAGAAGAAGAATTGACGAATTCGCATTGTGGTGTTGGCAAAGAATATTCAATATACAGTGGATTGCCAGAAGAATGAACAAATCATTCTTGGAAGAAGTACAGCTAGAATGCTTTTAGAAGCAACCATGGCAAGACTTCATCTTGCTTACTTTGGACATTTCATCAGGAAAGACCAATCACTACAAAAGGACATCATGTTTGGTAAAGTAGAGGGTCAGGGAAAAAGAGGAAAACCCTCAATGAGATGGATTAACACAATAGCTGCAACAATGGGCTCAAAAATAGCTATGATTGTGAGGATGGTCTGGAACCAGGCAGTTGTTTATCATGTTATATACATAAGGTCACTGTGAGTCAAAGCTGACTAGATAGCAGCTTCCTTCCTCCTCCCTCCCTCCCTTCCTTCCTTTCTGCCTCCAATTATCCGTATGTTATATTTCTCTGTTTATTAAACTTATCTTTCAATATCACTTTCATAGTTTCTGTCTTTATTCTTTGTGCTGAATTCTAGGTACTTTCTTTTGATGTATTCCAACTTAAATATTATTTCTTTCATTGTGACCAATCTGTTGTCAAACCCACTAACAGAGTTTGTAACGTAACATGGTTTTTTAAATTTTTAGATGCTATATTTGATTCATTTCCAAAACTTCTAGTCTAGGTGACTGTTTATACTTTCCACTTTCATGAAGATATTTTTAAGATTTTAAAATTTATTTAAAAACAGTAAGCATATGTTCTGCTAATTTCAAAACTGAACTAATTACAAATTTGTTTCTGATAAGTATTGTTTCTGCCAGTGTCATTCGTGGTGTCTTGTTCACTTGGTTATCTCTGCATGAAGCTCACTTCCTTCAGGATGTACCAATGGCCAAACTTGTTCTTGAGGTGCTGAGGGCTGCCCAAGCACATCAATTTCCCCTTCACCATAATGGCCAGCCTGGTACAAAGGACTTCACATTCCTCCATACTGGCAAAACAAGATACCAGAACAATGTAAGGCTACAAGTTCTCCTTTATAGGACATTCTGTAGTTCAAACAGTGCAAGGATTCTGTGACTCTCTCTAAATGAAATTGGGCCAATTTTTTTAGAGATATTCTCACAATCCATACGTTTTCCTTCACAAAAATTATATGTGAGAAGAATTTGATACCTCGGATAGAGGGGATTTAAGTTCCTTCGTCAAGAGTCTAAGGACATGAACAGTTAGGGATTACTGTAAATTAATTAATTTAATTACATTCATAACATTTTATTTTACTACCTATGTGCATTGGAATGCAAACCTATAGAAGGTTTGGGCTAATTGCCAAAGCAACACTCCCTGCAGTTTCTTGGAAGTGAAGACAGGGAAAGGCTTTGCTTCTGGTTCTGCATTACTGTGAAACAAGGCCTACACATAAAAAAAAAAAAAAAATCCATGGAGTTCCTGATTAATAAGGAAAGCATCTCGTATTACAGTCTTCCAAATTGAGAGGGTCTGGGATTTTCATTTCTACCTTCTTCATCCCTAAGATCATCGAAATTGAATTAGAAAAAACTATTATTCCAATTTACTACAATAAGCTTCATTGGCTGAAATTTTGTAGCTATTAGGAAAGAAAAAAAATTTGGTGGGACTCTTAGACATGTGACCTGGAAGAATTCAGGTCTTTTATCTCATCCATGGATGCTCAGTGGGATAAATGACTTGGGTCCTTACTTAACGCAGTTCTCCTAATCAGGTGAGGTCAAGAATTGGCTATTGTCCTCAGACTGATGCCTTGCTGGAGTACATGACTGGTCGGGAAATAATGATCATGTATGCCAGGATATGGGGAGTCGCTGAGCCCCAGATTCACCTGTATGTGAACAACTGGTTGAACTTACTACATCTGGAGCCCCATGCTGACAAGCTTATCTACACATACAGGTGAGGCATTATGCTGCTGCTCTTTTAGTTGCTGCTGCTAATGTTGAGGTGCCTCCCTATGTTCCTGATGTTTGAAACAAATGCCCACAGTGCTATCTAAGCCCTTCTGTCACAGTTTGCTAATTGTGAAATTGTCTAGTGCCTTTCTAGGTTTCAGATAAGGCAGATCAATATAGTTTCATGTTTTCCCTTTGCAGAGATGAAACTCAAAATCCTAGTTCTCTTTGAACTGTAGTCTTTGAACTTCAAAAGGAAGCATCTTCCTAGTCTCCCTATGGTTATTTGTCTCCCGAGTAAGGAGAACTGTGAGGGTCTTTGAATTATGGTAGTTTTTATGTACCTGGGAAACCTATGGTACCTTAAGAAGTAGTAAATAAATGTCACTGATTATACTGCTGAAATCAGTTACATAAACATAAGTCACTCCTCTACATTACATATGAAAGTTAATTGATAGATACACTTTTTTTGGGCCTGCTACTTTGTTAAAGTTACATCTAATCAGCATCATGGATGTCCATATTAAGTGTTTTCTGGGACTCTCAGCATTTTAGATGATTGTGCTAATTCTTTCTTGTAAATAACTAATTTGTATAGTCTTCTCTTTCCCACTTTTTCCCCTTCCTTGACCATGAAGTGGAGGAAACAAACGTAGACTGAGTACTGCTATTGCCTTAATGGGACAGTCCTCGGTCGTCTTCCTGGATGAACCATCAACTGGCATGGACCCAGTAGTTCGGCGCCAGCTCTGGAATCTAATAACACAGATATGTGAATCTGGCAAAGCCATCATCGTAACCTCCCACAGGTGCGGCTCATTTGGGAGGCTTGGTTGAGGGTTGGCAGGAATGTTGGACAGTGAAACTTGCATAAGTATGTTGAGTTCCTCATTAATCCCAATGAGTGAACAGCCAAGAATCCTCATTGAGTTAAATAATTAAGGATGGGAAGAGGGCAAGAAGTTCAGGAAATGTTCCTTTTGAGGATTTGGTCCTCTAATACTTTGCATTATGAAAACTTCCCACATCCCAGCTATAAGCCTAATGATGGGCAAATGCAACTTCCCATTGCAGAGAGTCACAGAATCCTTGCACTGTTTGAACTACAGAATGTCCTATAAAGAACAACTTGTAGCCTTACATTGTTCTGGTATCTTGTTTTGCCAGTATGGAGGAATGTGAAGTCCTTTGTACCAGGCTGGCCATTATGGTGAAGGGGAAATTGATGTGCTTGGGCAGCCCTCAGCACCTCAAGAACAAGTTTGGCCATTTGTACATCCTGAAGGTCAAGGTCAAGCCTGATACACATAAGGATAAATTAGACGATTTAAAAAATTTTATCTCAACGACCTTCCCAGGTAAATGAAGTTGCGCCAATTTTTTTAGAGATATGTTAAATAATAATTGTTTTTCTCACAATCCATACGTTTTATGTCTTCAGTAAGTGTTTCCTGTGAGTTATTGATATTTACAGATCTTCATACTGAATTCCTTTTGGGATGCTTGTTCCTCTGTACGTCTTTGGCCTGGCTGTGCTAAGAAGTTTCACAAAAAGCAAAGGAGCTCACCAAGTTCTTGCATCAACTAGCAAGGCAGTTGTAGATTTGTGCTGTCCATAGGAATTATATACCTAAAGTCATATTTTTTAGCATAATTTTCAATTATTTGTACATATTATCCATGCAAAGTTTTCAGGGTTTTTTCCCTTACACTAAAAGCATGTAACTCTGGTCGTTTGCTGTCTGAATCAGGATATGGTTTTGAAATGCAAACGAGAACCACTAAGTTTCTTCCTCTTCTTTCTAGCATAGTCCTGCTTTTGCATTCTAAATTTGATAAGCACCTCTATGCCTACATGGTGCAGTACCACAGATAGCAACTATTTCTTTCTGTCCCTTACCTCTCTTTCCTAAACATAAAGCAGGGGCATGACAACACTTTTTATTATTCTAATTTGTCATCTTAATTTCCACTTTGTTAGGCTGAGCAAAGTATCACAGAAATTTCACATTGTGTGTCAGGCTAAGGAGCTGGAACTTTATCTTCTAGGGAATGGAAAATAGCATGATTGATTACACAGTAGGATTGGAGAGCAGAAAATAGAAAAGAAATGGATGGGAGAGCAGATGTGGAGGAGCAGATGTGAGGGAGAGATAATGATTATGATTTGCCTATGACACATGCAGATGACTGTGTCCATTAAGAAGTTGACTGTTCGCTTGTCCAGTCACCTGGCAAATATTTTTCAGTACTTATTGTATCAAAGTTCTACTTGATATGGTGCCTAAATCACCATAAAGAGAGGCCATGACCAAAAAATCTCCTTTACTGCGAGCTGTCCTAGAAGCTTACTGTACTTAAAGGATGGACTCTGAACACTGACCAGAGACCTATCCTCAGGGATGCAGACACAACTGCTTTAATAGGAATGTGGGTTTGATACAACATTCCTAACTGTAGGGGGTAGTTGCCCAGTCCTTCCTCACATTATTCTTGAACAAATACCTGTTCAAATATGACAAAATTTAAAAGAAACTTACGTGGGACCGATACATTAGTATTAACTTTTTAAAAATACAAAATAAATATTACAAAGGACAGATGGCATACACACTTCAAAAGAGACTTAACCACAGGACTCTGAGAATATTTAGGGTAAATAATTCTATACCATTTCAAAGAAATTTAAGCGACCATATTCTTTAGAAAAAATACACAAGTCAGATGACTTTACTTCTGCAGTATGGAAGATTACATATTCTAAAAAACACTCCTGGTAAAATAAAACTAGAATGTAGTAAAATTGAAATAAAAATATTTTAATGCAATAACTGACTATATAACTTTATTAGCTTTACAGCTGTAGTGCTCCTTTCTCAGAAACAAACATGAGAAAATTCTTTAACAACCAATAAAGAAAAAAGGAAAAAAAAGAAAAAGAATATAAAAGAATGGAAACAGTGAGCTAAAACATGAGAGCAAGAAAAAAAAAATCCAAATCCTGGATTTTAACAATAGATTATCTAATACAATAACAAAAGCACAAACAGCAAAAAAAACAAAAACAACAACAACAAAAAAACTCATTGCCGTCGAGTTGATTCTGACTCATAGCAACCCTATAGGACAGAGTAGAATTGCCCCATACGGTTTTCAAGGAGCACCTGGTGGGTTCGAACTGCCAACCTTTTGATTAGCAGCTGTAGCTCTTAACGACTATACCACCAGGGTTTCCAAAACCAAACCCATTGCCGTTGAGTCAATCCCGACTCATAGAGGCCCTACAGGACAGAACAGGACTGCCTCACATGGTTTCCAAGGTGCGGCTGGTGGATTTGAACTGCCGACCTTTTGATTAGCAGCCAAGCTGTTAACCACTACACCACCAGGGCTCATAACAGCAAAAGACAAAATAAATAAATGGGCCCTCATAAAAATTTAAAAACTTCTGTTCATCAAAAAACTACCAAAAAAGTGAAAAGACAAACTACCGACTAGGAGAATATCCTTGGAAACCATATATCCAGTAAGAATCTAATAACCGAAAATATATATAAAACTTTGATAACCTAACAACAAAAAGACAAATAACCCAATCATAAAATGGGCAAAGGACTTGAATAGACATTTCACCAAAAAGGACATTCAAATGGCACATTCAAACACATAAAAAGATGCTCTGCCATCATTAGCCATTGGAGAGATGCAAATCAAAACCACAGTGAGATACTATTTTGCTCCCACTAGGATGGCTAAGATAAAAAAGAAAAACAAAATAACAAATGTTGGTGAGGATATGGGGAAATTGGAACCCTTATCCATTGCTGGTGGGAATGCAAAATGGTACAGCTGTTGTGGAAAACAGTATGGCAATTCCTCAAAAAACTAAAAATAGAACTACCGTATGACCCAGCAATTCCACTCCTAGGTATATACCCAAAAGACTTGAAAGCAGAGACTCAAACAGAGACTTGTACACCAATGTTCATTGCAGCACTATTCACAGTAGCCAAAAAGTAGAAACAACCTAAATGCCCATCAACAGATGATTGGATAAACAAAATGTGGTACATACATAAAATGGAATACTACTTAGCCAACAGAAAAAATGAAATCTTGATATATGCTACAATATAGATGTAACTTGAAGACACAGTAAGTGAAATAAGTCAGTCACAGAAGGACAAATATTGTATGACTTATATAAGAAGAAAAGAAAAGGCAAATGTACAGGAACCAAAGTTTATTAGTGGTTACCAGGGGAGGGAGGGAGGGGGAAAGAGGGTTAACCAAGATGGAAAAATCACATTGATTAAGTGAAGGGTTGAACAGCCAACTATTTTAATTGCTGTCAATAAGTTGTATGCATGTAAAAATTTGAACTGGCAAAAGTTGTGTGGTAGATATATTTACAACGAAGACAAAAGAAAAAAAAAACTGGCTAAAACTGGCTGCTGAGGCTGCTTATGTACAAGCTAGGGCCTCAAACCAGTACAGTCATGGCTGACGAAGCAGAACTGGAACAGACCCAAATTTTTAAAATTTGGGTGAGGCAGAACAATAATGGGAATGGGAAAAGTTACGGATTGAAGCCCTGGAATGGGAGACTCGGAAGAGGCATAGTGAGCCCTTTCAGGAGCCTGATGTGGGAGACTGGATTATTGCTAGGACTGTGGAGAGCGACACACGTTAAAAGTTGGCGTGGTCAGCTGCCATCTTTGAGCGGGGCACCGCTGTTTGACTCTGCCAGTGAAGAGATTTGGTTGCTATGCATTGTGCACACTGCCCTTGTTTTCATTTTTTATTGATATAATTAAACGAAGTTTACATTTCAAGTTAGTCTCCCACACAGAATTTTTTTTTTTAACATACATTGTTATGCGACCCCAACCGCTCACCCCATTCTGCGACAGCACACTCCTCC